CATGACCGCAGCTAACATCGTGTCTTGTGCGATGTATAGACCAACTCAACTTACTGATCTCCCGTCACCATTGGTGACGCTGCTGTCGGTGCTGCGCATGCGCAAACGGATCACTCCTCCCGAGTTTGGTATGTGCGCACGCGCAGTGGTGCCCACAGTTGGTGTAGGCAAAACCGGCTTGTTTGGTGTGTATACGGTGGTGGTAGTGTGTGACTGCTGCTCGGCTTCCACCGCAGATGACGCTGTATACGATTCGACGAAGGCCAATGAAACAGCGCCAAAAATGCATCGTCACGGCGTCTCGGCGAGTTCCAGCTGCCGAAGCTTCCGTGGCCTGCCACAATGAAGAACGACCTGCAGCAGCACAGGCGTCTCCCACATCCATCGAAGCTATTGGGACGCCGCCAGGATCGCGACCGGCGACAGCGAGACACGTCTATGACGTCATCGGGCGGAAATCGAGGGACCACTTTTTTGGACGCGGTAAACACACCAGTCGGAGACGCGCGTTCTAGACACCATGGTACCTGTACCACCAAAAGACAAGACCTGCGCACCAAAAAAAAAAGAGTCCGGCTTCTCGCGGAGTAATACTGATTTCACCCTTTATGTAGATAAATAAGATGTATATAGATGCATTTTAGATTAGATACACGTTATCTTCTGAAGACGCACGCGTTTCAAACTCCAAAAATCATCGTTTCTTTCTCCGACAACCAAATATCGTAAGAACTACTTCGCGCCGCGTATGAACAGTGCGCAAAACTTCCTCGTTCTTCTTGGGGTGGAAACCAGTAGAGGTGGTACTGGCAGAACGCGGCGTGGTTTGTGTCCACGTACACCTCTCGTTCCGGAAACGCGTTCAGCGCTCTCCGAAGGGATCAGTTCAATGCGCTCGCGCTCGGAAACATGCCTTCGGCCTCAATGTGGGATTGTCGGTCACGTTCTTCGAACAGCGGCTGTTGGCGGCGGAGTCCGGCCGTCGGGCCGGTCGCCCGAAGCTGGGCGCGGGCGGTGCGGCCGGCACTGCGGAGATTGCTTTGCTCGCACGCGTCCCCGGACGTGATTGAAAGGGCATCGGGATTTCTTAATTATCATTCCAATTATGGGACCCAAAAGGTAGTAGTACCGAGCGCATTGAATCGCTGTTTACAATGGTCAATTTGCAAGAACGAATATCCCGACGAGTCGCGGAGTTGCTGCCGTAAATTTGCCGAAAGTTCGGTTTTTCTTTCTGAAATACCAGCTTAAAATTTACGAGGATTACATAGACGCCTTGCAGCAGCTATGCATATGGGCGCTCCCATAACCGACTTTCAGTTTTCATTTTCTCTTCTTTCGTTTAATTAACTTATCATTACTACAGCGGGAGAGGTTATTGCAATTTTAAATTATTCTGTCTGCTTCTTCCCGGCATTGCCCTGTGTAGAGGCTCGTCAACGCTCGCTTCAGTTGTTTGGCATCTCGTTTAATTACAATCGGTGTAATATATATGTAACTTTGTAAGATCGGTAACGGAGTTTTTTTTTTTTTCAAAGCACATCCGAAATGTACGAAAGTAACTCCGCCATCTTAAATTTCCGGTTGTTCCTTCTGCCAATTTTCAACTTGCTGCACAACTTTAGAGAGATATTTTATTTCGAAACCATCGCGCATGCAAAATAGATGCCTTTATAAAAGCGCGGTTCAAGAATCGCCTACTATTGAAATCTGAAGATATGCTTTCTTGGAAACAAAATTGGAACGAGACGAAGAAGCTTCCGCGCACTCCACAAGTTCTTCGCCTAGCCCGATTACCTGACCGTAAGTGTAAGGTAGCGTGTTACACCGAGGCGTGCTAGAAGAAAAAAAAAAGAGTAACATGCAATCAGTGCAACGTTTTTTTGTTTTTTTTTAATGAACATTCCGCTTGACTGCTTCTATCTTCGAGAACCACTCCTTACCTTGTTTATCTTTTTTCGTCGGTAGTGGGATGACTTCCGAGCATCAGGGTCACACGCGTGTTCCTTGGAGGTCGATTAATCCTCAGTGTTGGCGGTAACGGGTTACAAGCAACGACGTTACCGGTAACGTTGTAACGTACTCGTTACGATTTCAAAACAGTAACGGGTAACGTACTGACGTTACTTATTCCGAGTAACGGGTAACACGTCACTTGTCACATATTCTTCCCAAGACTTACAAAAAGAATGACACTTCCATTGTTTGTGTTTTTAGGCGCCAGGCCATATACATCTTAGTTGTTTTTTTTTTGCCTTTCCCTTTGCGTTTTTTCTCGTAAGTACTCAGGTGGAACCGTAAAACGAAAAAGAGAAAATTGTGTTCAATTTCTGAATACTGTCAAGACCGGTTATAACGAAGTCGGTTCTAACGAAATAGCGGCTACAGCGAAGCGATCACTATTGCCCATTCCCTTTTGTACTTCGTTATAACCGAAGTCGGTTATAACGAAATAGCAAATATAGCGAAGTGATTTCCGATTCCGGTTGACTTCGCTATAACCGGTCTTGTCGGTAGACATAATTTTTTTTTTTTAAATATAGCGCTTATAATCTGTAACGCGAAAAGAGCAGAACGTGTAAATTTATAATAAAAAAGTAACGCAAAAGTAGCGTGTGTTACTTTTTATCAGTACCGGCAACGCGTTCCTTTTATTTTGAAGTAACCATTAATGTATTTCGTTACTTTTTTTCGGCAATGCCTATAACACTGGCAATCCTACAGCCATGTCTTTTTTTCTTAATTTAAGGTAATTTCACACCCGATAAAAGTCAATCTTTTTCCGATACTGAAAATAGACACTGATGAACTCCAAATCTGTGGAAAGTAAATATTCCTCCTCTGCGCACCCCCCCCCCCCCCCTTTTCCTCCTTAAAAAAAAAAAATAATAATATAGCGTTTACGAATTTAAAATCAATAAATAAACGAAAACACGGAACATCAGATAGGTATAATCTCAGCCATGTCATTAGTTTCCAGTTTTCTTTAGCAAAAGCCCGGCGTAAACGCCGGTCTTTGGTATGGCACTGCAATATACACCGAAAAACACAGAATCTCAGTAAAAAAATAACCTCACCCCCCCCCCCCCCCAAAAAAAAAAAAATAGCACGAATCTTAAAAAGTCAATCCCGAAACACGAAACCATATATGTAATCCCAGTGATGTCATTATCTCGTTTCCTTAACATAAACACATATAAACGCCGATTGCTTGTCAAACACCGAAAGACTATGAATCCGTGCGAACGAACTAAACAACTAAAACATGACCCTACAGTAATCCCAATAGTAGCATTGTCCAGTTTTCCTCAACACAAGCCCGATGAACGACAATGTTTTTGTCCGACACCGAAAGACACCGAATCTATGGGAGCAAAGTCAGACCCGATAACCGCCGATTTTCGGTCCGACACCGAAAGACACCGAATTTTCGGAGGAACAAAGGAAACCCCCGCGGAAACACGGAGCCCTGCGCGTAATACCCGTAATTCCATTAGTGCCATGTCTGAGCGCCCGGAGGCAGGAGTAGCGCCCATTGCGGACGCGGCAGCAGCAGCCGCGCAGTCCGTCCCAAGGCGTGTCTGGTCGGCCTCGCTCTCCGTCCGGTCAGGCTCCAACGAGCAACCGGCCATTCCCCCGAGACGCCCGAGGCGTCCGCCGGGCAAAGAAGTCGAAGGACGCACTCTCCCCGAGCGGCCGTGCACGCGCCCAAATCCCACGGGTGCACGCACCGGCGGCGATGAGCGGTCAGCTTGCTTGGGCCTCGCCATCGACCAGAAGACACGTCCCTTCCGCGCTTCGAGAGCGCCTCCGCTCTTTACGGACACAGTTCATGAGCGCTCCTGTCATTCCGCTTGGTTGGTTGGTCGGTCAGTCGCTCGGACCGGTTCATCCGCCACTCGGCACGCTCATGTGTGGGCCTCCTCACAAACCATGGCACGACGGCGTACCATAGAAGCTTCGTACCAGAGGATCTCTGTACGCTTAGCTCTAGGCCTCCTCACAAACCATGGCACGATAGCGTACCATAGATGCTTCGTACCAGAGGATCTCCGTACGCTCAGTCCTATGCCTCCTCACAAACCATGGCATGATGGCGTACCATAGATGCTTTGTACCAGAAGATCTCCGTACGCTCAGCTGTATGCCTCCTCACCAAACCATGGCGTGCCAAATACTTTTGTGCCGGACGATCTTTGTAGGCCTTTGTCTACGCCTCCTCACAAACGATGGCCTAATATAGATGCTTCGTACCAGATGACCACTGTACCGGAGACTACGCACCAAGAATGTATGATATATTTTAGTAAAAAAAAAATACGGTTGAGTTTGAAAGAAGTTTTATACCAGAAGATATCGTCACCAAAGACGTCACCAAAGATATCGTCACCAAAGACAAGAAAACATCCGTGCCTAAACTTCTTTTCCCCCTAGAAGGAAAACTCCCCAAACGATCGTGTCCCGAAAAAACTCTGTTCAGTAAGTCTCCGTTCCAGAAGACCTCTGTACCAAAAAAGCCAAGTAACAGAAAAGGTCTGCGCTACAACTTCTTTCCCCGAAAAAAGATATATTTAAACCTAAGTGATTTTCCACATCCACCGGAGATACCGGAGCTAGAACACTCTGCCGGATTATACTGTCCAAAAATTCCAGGCGAACCTAGTATCTTAAAAAAAAGATTCCACGATGTCCAGAAAATAAGCCAAGAATTGGGTTCCAAAAGTGCAACACCTCTTTGACGAAGGTTCCACCTGTCTGGCTACGATCCTGTTAAAGGGCCCACAGCCCACATGGTATGAAACAGTAGCATGTTTGCTATAGGAGTTATCGGGAAATGTAACCTTTACACGCTAGGCCTCACCAACTTCATTGTCAGGTGTTCGACACCATATGAAGCAAAAACGAGATTCCACCATGAATGGCACTCGTATAATAAAAGGGGACGGGCTGAGGAACCTTCTCCACGCGAGCGTTCCGAAACAAAGCGCGGTAGCACTCACCGTCCACCTGAAGTGGAAAGGCAGCCTGAGCAGAAGCTGCTGGTCCGGATGCGTCTTGACCGAAAACGAACTGCCGCCGATGAGCGGCGACGTGAGGTTTCCAAAGGTGCACGGTCCGGCCAAGTCCACACTGGCCTGGTACTCCTTCAAGCAGAGTCTGAAGATGGTGTTGCACTGTCCGGGGCACCGACCGGAGGTCCTGGCGACACCGCCGCAGCAGCCGCCGTCCAGCAGCTCCCGACCGGGGTTGTCGATGCCCAGCACCTGGAGCTCGAAGAACCCGGAGCCTCGGACCGCGGGCAACCCGAGGCACAGCCAGAGGAGGACGGCTAGGCGCGCCATGCCCGCGGCTAGCCGTCGGGGCCCAACCCCTTCATGGGCCGGGCGACCGGTCAGCGGGCCGGTCGCCTGGCGGCCCGCCGCGCGTTTCGTCCGAACATGCCAGGGGCCGAATCGGTGGCAATCCAGTTTGCGAGGGGGGGACTCCGAGGGGCACGGGGTGGGCTGCCGCACCGGTCGAGGACGACGCGCGACTGGAGCGGCGATCGCCGCTGCCGTGTGCCGGGGAGGGATCCCGCCAGGGGGACCCGCGATGGCCGAAGGGGAGGGGGGCCCACACGCGAGCGCCGGGATGCCATCGCGGTCCCCCCTCTCGCCTGAACCCCCCCTGGGGACGGGGAGCGGAGCGTACGGGGGGCTGCAACTGAGCGGTGGAGTCCCGGCGTCACGCCCCGACACAGGTGTGGTCGAAAGGGGCTTGCATAGGAAAGGGTGTCGCAGCAACGACGACACTCGCGGGGTTGAAAGACGGACCTCGGGGGATCCGTTTAGTGTCTCTCTTCCAATGAATCTGGCGGAAATAATTGACCGGGCGGGGGGGTCATGGCAATAGGGGGGATGAAAGGAGGAAGGTGGGGAAGATAGCGCGCTTGAGGGCTAGTTATACCCCGTCAGACTGGTGTCTTGAAAGCCTTTGGAGTAGATGTCCTTTAACTCAAATGTCATTTAGGTGGTGTCAGACGCGCAAGCCAAATGTCATTCGGGCTGAATGACATTTACGATCAACGGAGTTATAAAAACTCCGTAAACTCCTCAACTGCCTACTCTCATCGGCTGCGATCACGGATGACTACGAAAATAATAAAAAATAGATATTCTTATTTAGGAATTCATCAATTAGAATAAAATTTAAAACAATTTATGAAGCTCTCTGCTTGCTTTAGAGCGACTTTAGCGTAATTTCTTGCACACACACACACACACACACACACACACACACACACGCACACACATATATATATATATATATATATACGCTCGCGGGCACAGTAATCACCTCCTCCTTTGTTCCTTCCTGTTCGTACTTGTCCATGCTCATCACTGTGCTTTCCGTTCTCCTTATCTCTTTGCTCTTGACGTTGTTTTTGTGTTTTCCATTTTCCTTCGCTTGTGGTTGCGTTTTATAACTTAACTTTAATTTTGCAGTGTTCTTTTGTATTTCGCTTGGAGGACCAGCATCTGGCCTTCCAAGCGATCGGCTTCCCTTTTTGCCGATGACAAGGCAGCTCAGAGGGCAGCCAAGGAGCTTTGCTGCTGCGTGTGCATACAAAAAGAACAGCAACCTGAGTCTGGCAGCTCCGAAGCCTCCATTGTCGACACTACCGGAATCGTTGGGGTAAGCAGAGCAGACGAGGAACCGCACAGAGAACAAACTCAGAAGCCGAGGAACAATGGAGGGTTTTCGCTCGGGAACATCGTTGGTGCCTTTAGACTTTACAGCAGCTTGTACCAGCCAATAACAAGCAAACTTGCTTTGCTAGCAAAAACAACACGTGTAATCGTTCAAAAAATCCATATCATGCCAACCCATAATATTATTTATAAAAATAAATGGCAATACAGCAGCAATTTTGTTTTATCGAGCCATTTATTTTGTTAAATGGGTAACCGTTGTCAAATGTTAAATCTGTAAAACTACAATTGCAATAAATATCCCCTAAATGACATTCGAGATGTTCTCCGACATGTCTGACACCCGAAAGCTTGAATAACCTTTGGGAATTTCGAAACCCTTCGACTTAAATGGCATTTGAGTTGACCGTCTGACGGGGGTATTACAACTATTGCCTTGTTCTGCACAAATAGTGAACATCGCGCAATGTACGAAATCATGGGGAAAAATGTATAAGTTTATTTCTGTGCTACTGCGAGATATTTATATAAATTTGGTGAGTTGTCTGTTTCTTCTAATTGTATAACACACTATACTGGTTCTTAACAATGGGGTCTGTGATCGGCTTGGCAAGCTGTCCAGGGCAGTTATTTTTTTCACAGCTCTTTATTGTTTACTGTCAAGGTGAAAAATAAACTCTTGTGATCTATTCAGAAACTGTTCTAGCCACTGTGCTTTTCATAGAATTTAGATCTGTTTTTGTCTAGAAAAGAAGGGGTTTTGAAGGAAATAGAAACAAAAACATAATAGGTTTTTCACCTTTCTGTGAAAACAAAAAGATTGTAGTTGTTGCGCAACCGTCAAGCACGCAAAGAGATATTGTACAGAGGTTTAGACAGCGTGGAGTTATTCTGCTTTAACAAAGTGCGTGTTTTTTTTTTTCCCGATGTAGATGGGCAAGCTACAGGGCAGCGAATTCGGCTACAAGAGCGAGCTAGCCGGCGTTTCGTGCTTCGAAAAGTGCCTTTCCAGCGCAAGCACTCGTTTGACGCATATTCGAAGTTCACAGTGAACTTGATTTTTTTTTTCCAGTACTATGTCAGAAATTCCTACATGTGACAATTTCACAATTTCTAGGTGACAGAGACGTTGATGGGCGTTAAAGAAAATGGTCACGTTGATTCTTAAAAGGTGCGGAAACTTCACAGAACTTGCGAAGCTTTGTGAAGGGTGAGTGCGTTTTGGGCACCGGCCATGCACGTCATTGTGCGTGGCAAAAGGATTTTGAGGGCGATAAATATATCGCGGTGTTTGCGCTGTGTCTGTGCCATCAATGACGAAAAAGTGAGACGCGCATGGTGACTGTCATGCTCCAGAAGAATAGTCTTTACGGTATATTGATGTCTCAGTGTCACAGGGCTCACAACTTGCGCGCGGCCGCGGGTTTAGTGCATTGCAGCACGGGATGAACATACCCTATAGTTACTAATAGGCAGTTTTAGCATAGCGTGACTGCAGACAACCGTAGGTATGGCATTACAATCGAAGGCTAGCGCTGCACCTTAGAAGCATGATTTTCAGCGCGTGAAAAGAGCGTATCGTGCCCCCGGTATCCCGCGGCAACGCGGTGCGAAAACTGCCTGTTAACGCCATCGGCGTATTTTGGCGGTTTTAATTGTTGCTGTATCAAAAATAAACATTCAGATCTTATATACTACACCCGTGTACCTTGTTATTCGCCGCACCGTGACTCGCCTCGCCTAAACTGCACGTTCAAATCTTCGTTGTGAATGGCTGGCTAACACAGACAGGCTTCAAAATGCTGCGCGGATTTATATATTTTGCCTTATTTAATTACATGAACGTTAGTACGTGTAACCTGTCGTTTGGAACTGCTTGGAGCAAACGGTCATAATCCATGTTACGACCTCTCTGCGAGTAAAACACAAAGCCACTCCCGATGTCTATCGCTCGACACACCGTTGCGCGAACATTTCTCTACTACTTTCGGGAAAAAATAGTTTTTCTTAGGTCATACGTAAAAGCTTGACCTTCTTCCGTCATTTTGAGCATAGATTGAGCTGGCGAACGCAGGACCCAAAATCCGCGGGGTATACAATCTACGGAAAGTCTCGAATGATACGAGACACCCCGGTGCCTTCACTTTGTCGCGAAGTGGAACACTACAATTCCTATTTTACACACTCGCTTTTTGTTTTGTTAAAACTGTACGATGCATGAATACGCCGACCAGAAACATGCGGTACCAGCAGCACGAAAGCCGACAGTCCCTTCCTCCGTCTCCGCCGCCATCCCCGCTCCACTGGTTCTTCGTACGTCCACGAGAGGGCGCGCGGCAGGTTGGAGTACACTGAAGAGGCGAACCGACTACACGAAGGTGTCCCGCCTCTAGCGACAGCGTTGGGCTTCTCGTCAACAAGCGAGACAGCCAATACTACTGAAGCCTTTTGGAAGACCATCGAGCAGACGAAAAGACGACTGGAGGATTGGTGGCATCATACACAACGCAGGGGGCGCTGAATTCACCCCCAGGCTTGGGCGCGATTATTCGAGCCCGCCCGTTATAAACGGAGCAGCCGCAGTATCATCATCATCATCATCATCATCATCATCATCATGTTGCGAATAGACCTTTTAGAAACATCCCAATAATTTTTCGCGCCAAGCGCTCAAGGAATCATGGGACTGTCCTGTATGCACCTCCTCGACACTGCAGCATCTGCCATGTAACCCTGAAAAGAGCGTAGTTGTTCGCCCGGCCTCGCTCGCTTGCATTGCGCATCCACTGTCGCTTACAAGGTCACCGGCGTCATCTGCTACGGCCGGTTGTCTACAGGATGTCCCCGGCAACCCTTTCGGCGCCGCGGAGGGCGCTGTACGTTCGCCAACATGTCTATTAGGAACCACCCGTTATTTTGTTATCGGCGCTTCCCTTGGACCTATCACGACTTGGGTCGAGAAAACGTGGCGCGTGGATTTAGTTCAGTGTCGATGAACTCGACATTATATCATTATATGGCGATTCATCATTTCAGTAGCGCGTGTCAAGGGGCCTCGTACACGGAGAGAATGATGGATAAGTCAGGTAGCAACGAAGACGCCAGCCGCTTTCTTGGTGCTACGGCATTATTTTTGTTTTCCTCTCCTTTTGGAGTCTCGAGGACCGCGTGAGCTAAAAGACTTCCTCGTCCCTCTACCGTCTCGCCCTCTTTAAATTTTTTAGAGGGATAACCGTATTCACACATTGTATAGGGTGTCCTAAAATAAAAAAAAGAAAGTAGTAGGGTTTTATCACCGCAAAAAATATATACGCATCACCGAACGCTCATTTTCCGTCCAAATGTAGCCTTAGTGGTTCGAACCAGATGGCAAAGTTTCGGAAGTAACCATTATCTTATTAAAAAGTTATAGAAGCCTTTCTGTAATTTTCGAGGGGAAAATGAACGCCGACGGAGCTCTCGAATACAGAGTTGGCACCAGCTACCGAAAACGGGCCTTATTTTCCCATTGAAAGTTCTAGAAAATGACGTATAACTTTTCAACAAGGAAACAGTTAGTTCTGAAACTTTGGAATCTGGTCTAGACAGCTAGCGCTGCATCTGGGCGGAGAACGAACGCTCGGCCAAACGTAGTTTAATTTTGAGGTAAG